ATAAAGTTTAAAAAAATTTTATTTGATAAAAAAATTGTGATTCTATTAAAAAGTTTTAATAAAATTAAACAAATGTTTATTTAATAACAATAAATTAAAACGAAGTCAAAAAAAATTTTCATTACTCAGAAAAATTTTTATAAAAAAATTGTAATTGAATTTATATATTTTAAGAAAGTTTGATTAAATTAAGAACATTTTAATTGCATTTCAAATTTTTTAATTAAATTTATAAAAGTTTTAATTACTTTAAAAATATTTTATTTAATATAAAAAAATGTATTGCATTAAAAATATTTTTATTTTATTAGAAACATTTTAATAGCATTAAAAACAATTTAATTACTTTATAAATAGTTCTATTACATTAAAAATACTTTAATTCCATTTAAAAAGTTGTGACTAAATTTAAAAAAAGGAATTCGATTGAAAATATTGTACTGCGTTGAAAAACTTTTTAACTAAATGACAAAAATTTTAATTAAACTAAAAATATTTCAATTAAATTAGAAAATTTTTTTTTTGATTAAATTTTCTAAAAATTGACACTAAGTTTCTTCGATTGTTCAAATAATTTCTCTTTCTAATTCTACATCTCTTTCTTTTAAGTTAATCTACAAACTACCGAATTGACTGTGTGTAAATATAACGTCCGTACGATATTTTGCAAAAAGAATTCAGATGAAAAAAAAGGAATTTTCATTTTTGCATTTTATGAAATTAAAGGGAAGTTTGTTGGGTGCTTTTAAATTACGATAGGGTCAGGTTGGAGAGCTGTCGAGTTTTTCAACAGCTGACAGCATTAAGTTCCTTGGGATTTTAATTGAAGTGCTTTTAGCGTTAAGTGTGATAGACGCTGCAACTTAATTATAGAGATAAAGCTGGTGAATTGCCCGAGAAAATTAATCGCAGTAGCATTCTTTTTCAAAAATATATAGTAGTTGTACTTCATTTTTTTCCCCTTTGAAAAAATGCCGAGAATTGATATTTAATTTGCTTTTTTCAGCAAATTTCAGAATTAAAGTATTTTTTTAGTTTCGTTATTTGCGCGCGCAGTGACGCTATCCCCACTTCTATTTAATCTGCGCGCGCAGAGTTCGAAAAATGACAATTCTAGTTTCGATAATTGCGCGTGCGCGTAAATTTTACCGTAAAGCTGCGCGCGCAATGACGCTATCCCCACTCCTAATTTTTTCTGCGCGCGCAATCTGAAGAAAATGATTTTTTCGCGCGCATTGACGCTATCCCCACTATCGCCCCCTGCGCGCGCATTGTTAGACAAATAAAAATAATTCTTTCTTTTTGCTATCGTACGGACTATTGACTAAACATCATTGAGCGCTTCTCGTTAAAAAATTTTTGTCTGAACACTTTTTTATTGTCCTAATACTTTTTTCTTTTTCTTTGTAACTACTTTCTACTAATTACCAGTCTTCTTGGTGTACGTAAATTGTTTCTCAGTCACTAAAAGTTTGACCCTACTTAAAATGAGGCCCCATTTGGTAACTACTTTTTTTTTTTTTTTGATTAAGTGATACTATTATGTCTAAACTATAATTTCGTAAATGATTTCTTTTTTTTTCACTACGATCACAGTATTTCCTGTAAAGAGCTGATCGAACTCGTTAGAATTTGATTTTATCTAGATATTTAATCGAAATGAAATGAAAGAATTATCTACTCTAGGAGATTGCACTTCAAGATATGTCGTTTCTCTTTTGTCTCCATATTCAATTGTCACATATAAGTGTTATTACTTTCGATTTGGGAAAATGATATGAAAAATGGGAAAATAAGTGCGTCGTTTCTTTTTTATCTACTAGCGATAGATATTTTTTGTTTGTTAGTAAAATTGATTGATCTCAATTTGTAGGGGTGTAAAAAATATTTGATTTGTGAGTTTTCTTCTTTTTTTTTTAATTTTCAATTCGAGGAAAATCGAATTGATTCCACTTGATTGGAATAGAATTTGATTAAACTGTCATTGAATTAATTTTGAATCGTTTTTTTGATGAAATTTTTAACTTCAATGAATTGACATTAATTAGAAAAAAATCCACTGGATAAAATTGAGGAATCAATCAATTATCAACTGTCAATTTTGATCCCCGAATTTTTTTTTTTTTTGGGGAACAAGAAATTTCTTTTTTTTTTGGGGGGGTGAATAAGAAATTTCTTACTTTGTCAGAAAAGAAATATTTGTTCTTGGAAAAGAACAAATTTCTTTCTTTGAGGAGAAATATACTTTTTTTTAGGGGTACAGAAAATTTCTTTCTTGAAAGAAAATTTTTTTTTGGGAAAAAGACATTTTTTTTTAGAAGAAATCAAAATTTAAATTTTTTGAGGAAAAAGAAATTTCTTTTTTCTAAAGAAACACAGTTTTCTTTTTTTTTAAAGAGAAAAACAAAATTCTTTCTTTCAAGAAACGAAAAATATTTTTTTTTGTGAAAAGGAATTTTTTATTTGTAAAGTATCTAATAAAATTGAATTTTTTTGGAAAAAAGAAATTTTATTCTTTGAGAGGAGTGAGGGACGGGGGACGGGGGGTACCAAACCATTTTTTTTTGGGAAAAAGATATTTCTCTTTTCAGAAGAAATCAAAATTTTTGGGAAGAAGGAAATTTCCTTTTTCAAAAGAAAGCAAAATTTTCTTTAAAGAAACAAAAATTGTTTTTTGTGAAAAGGAAAATTCTTTTTTTGGAAAGAAATAAAATTTAATTGTTTGGGAAAAAGGAAATTTTTAATCTTTGGAGGGGTGTGAGGGGGGACAAACAATTTCTTTTTTGGAAAAAAAGAAATGTCATTGTTTGGGGAAAAAGAAATTTCATTTTTTAGAAGAAATAAAAATTTTCAATTTTTGGGAAAAAGGAAATTTATATTTTCTAAAGAAACGAAGATTTCCTTGTTCTTTTAAAGAGAAAAAATAAAATTTTTTATTTTGTGTGAAAAGGAAAATTCTTTTTTTTGGAAAGAAATAAAATTTATTTTTTGGAAAAACAAGAAATTTTATTCATTAAAAGTAGGGGGGGGGGGTGACAAACAACTTTTTTTAGTAAAGAAGAAATTTCTTTGTTTAAAAATAAAGAAATGTCTTTTTTTCGAAAATAGAAATTTTTAATTTTAGAAAAAAATAAATTTCTTTCGTTTCGGAGAAAGAAATTAAATTACTCTTTTTGGGATAAATAATATTCTTTCTTTAGAAGAAAAGACATTTTCTTTAGAGAAAAACAAAAATCTTTGATAGAATAAATCTTTCTTTCTGAAAGAAACAAGATTTCTTTTCTTTATTTAATTGAACAGAAATTCTTTTTTTGAAAAAAAATGTCTATATTTATTATTTAGGGTAGCAAAAATTTATTTTGTTTTAGAATAAAATAAATTTTTTGCTTTCAGGAAAAAAAGAAATCTCTTTTTAAAAATTTCTTTTTGTCAAAAAGATATTTTTTTTTTGACTAAGAAATAGTTTTCTTTTAGAAGATATGAAATTTGATTATTTGGAAAAGAAGTTTTGTTTTTTTTAAAGAGACGAAGAAAATTCATTTTTTACGAGATTAGAAGTATTTATTTGTTGAGGAAAATAAAAATTGCTTTTTTTCTTTAAAGAAGCAATATCTTTCTTTTCTTTCTTTAGTTGAACAGAAATTTATTCTGTAAGAGAATAGAATTTCCTTTTTAAGGAAAATCAAATTTTTTTTTCGAAAAGAAAAATTCCTTTTTTAGAAAAAACAAAATTTTTTTCTTTCCGAAGAAAAAGTTTTCCTTTCTTTTTTTGTGAAAAAGAAAATTCTTTCTATAGAAGAAATAAAACTTATTTCTTTGGTAAACATAAGTTTTCTTTCCATTTTTCTTTTTGGGAAAAAGAAAATTCTTTCCATAAAAGAAAGAAAATTTATTTTTTTGGTAAACATAAGTTTTCTTTCCCTTTTTCTTTTTGGGAAAAAGAAAATTCTTTCTATAGAAGAAAGAGAATTTTTTTCTTTCGGACGATGAAGTTTTCCTTTTTTTGTGAAAAAGAAAATTCATTTTATAGAAGAAACAAATTTATTTCTTTAGGAAACAGAAGTTTCTTTTTCTTTGGAAAAAAGGAAAATTCGTTTTATAGAAGAAACAAAATTTACTTCTTTGGAAAAAAATTTTTCTTTTTTTTTTCTTTTTGGGAAAAAGAAAATTCCTTTTATAGAAGAAACAAAATTTATGTCTTTGGAAAACAGAAATTGTTTTTTTTGGAGGGGGGGGGGAAGATATTTTATTTTATAGAAGAAACAAATTTATTTCTTTGCCAAACAGAAGTTTTCCTTTTTTGTGAAAATTCTTTTTATAGAATAAACAAAATTTCTTTTCTTTAGAAAAAGTTCTCTTTTTTTTTTGGGGGGGGGGGAGAATATCCTTTTCTACTAGAAATAAATATTTTTATTTTTTGAGAAAACTAAATTTCTTTCAGTTTTTTGAAGCTATAAATTTGTTAACAGAAAAAGAAATTTCTTTTTTTTTTTGTAGTTAATAATTTTTTTAAGAATCTTTTTTATCGAATTTCTTTCTTTTTTTTTCTTTTTGTTTTTAGGGTGTGGGGGGGGGATTTGTTCACTGAGGTCGAGAAAGTGGAGCAAGAATAGTTGGTCATAGTCCAATGGTGGGTATGGGATGATAGACAGCTCCCATATCTAATCCTTGAACGCCAAGGAGATCGCTCATTGAATAGGTGAGAGTTGCGGCGCGTGTGGCTGCAGCTGCAGCAGCGGCCGCCGGATGTGGCCTATAAGCGGCTGCTGCAGCGGCCAATGCACGCTTCACATCGTAAACAGCGGCTGCAGTTGCTGGCGTGGCGCCATATTGATAGGTTGCTGCAGCAGATGGCGTAGCGGCAACTATCGGAGTAAGCAAGTGGTGGGGATTTGCTGCGCTAGCGGCTGCAGCTGCATGTGCAGCCGCCGCTGCAGATGGAAGGGGATACGGCGCGTAACGATAAGTGGTGGGGGGTGTCGCGACCATCACCAACTCACCGTATGCACCTCTGCCAGCCGCCCGCGTCTTCGCCAGATTCGCTGGAAGCATCACTTCCTTTGGTTGTGCCTTCTTGCATTCGACCTGAAACAAATTTTTTTTATTTTTATAAAAATTTCATTTTCGAATTTTTATTCGTGGAATCACTTTTATTTTCACTTTTACAGGGAACCTTTGAACTTAAAAATCTGTTAAAGTGAATACAGTTTTTCTAAAAATATCAAATTGAGACAAAAAGTGTATTAAAATTGTTTTACAATTTTTATGTCCAGGGGGTGGATAATAATTTCCAATCTGTCTTTCACTTTCACTACCATGAATTTTTATTTTCATTTCTACTTTAATTTTTTTTTTATTAGTTTCAAAAAATAATTTTGACGTAGGTACTTTTATTTTTATTTAAATTTTTATTTTTACTTTCTATTAAAGTGAAACTTAAATAAAAGTGAAAGTAAAAATAAAAATTTATCAAGCTGTAAATGAAAATAAAAGTGAAGGTAAAAATATACTGTCAAAGTGGAAATGAAAGTGAGAATAACATGCTATCAAAGTGAAAGTTAAAATGAAAATTCAAAACTGAAAGTAAAAATGAAAGTCATAAAAATCGACCCTCAGTTTGACAGATGTTTATTTTCACTCTCGTTTTTACTTTCAATTCGAAATTTTTATTCATGATTTCGACAAAAATTAAATTTCGATTTTCCATGATTTCCAGTCAAAATATTGACTACTTTTTTAAAGCAAAAGAAAATTCTGATTTACTCTAAAAATGATTAAGACACTATTCTTTAATTGTAAAATTGTTCGAAAACATAAATAGTTTTATTTAAAGTAAATATTTAATCATTATTATTTTTCAATTAGGAATTAAGATTTACAAAAATATCAAATTCAAACCTCTTTGAAATTTAATAACTGATAAGAATATTATTATGAAACATGAAGATATCTTCGACTCAAATCCATTTGTCATCAATTCAATTTTACGAAATTTCGATTATTCGGAAATTTTTTAATTAAATATATTTTAGAAATTTCAAAAAAGATTCAATTAAACTATTTTTCAACAAAAATTAATTTCACAAAATTGTTAGTTAAAAGGATAAAAAATTCAAATTTTTAAAGATTTTAATTTGAAATCTTCTTTAAAATTCAATTATTTCTAAAAATGCTGACCAAAATGCTTTTAATAATTATTTTTTATTTAATTATTGTCAAAAATTTTAACTAAAATTTATTTTTAAATAAATTTTTATTAGAAAATTCTACAAGAATTCAATTATTTAAATACAAAAATAAATTATTTATTGAATAATTTTGAATGTTTCTTAAAATTAAATTCTCATAAAGAAATTTATCAACAAATTTTTAAATAATTGGATTCTTTTGACGAATTTTAATAAAATTTTTAAGAATAATTACATTTTTCGAGGAATTCGATTAAAAGGTTATTAAAAATAATTGAAATTCTGCGATGACTTTTAATATTTAGGAAAATAATTGGATTCCTAAAAAGAATTTTATTATTTATGAAAATAATGGAATCCCTGTAAAATATTTTATTATTTATAAAAATAATGAAATTATTGCGAATAAATTTATAAAAAATTTGTAAATAATTAAAATTTCTATGAAATTTTTTATAAAAATAATTAAATGTTTGCGTAATTTTATAAAATTTTTTTTTAAATAATTGAATTCTTTTGGAAAATTTTATTTTTTCAGGAGGTGGAGGGAACAAACAATTTCTTTGTTCTAAAGAAACCAATATTTTTTTTATAGAGAAACAAAAATTTTTTGTTTTTAAAGAAACAAAATTTGTTTGATGAAATGAAACATTTTTATTTTGTAAAGATATAGATAAAATTTAATTTTTTGCGAAGAAGAAATTTTTTTTTTAAAAGAAATCAAAATTTTTATTTTTGTGGAAAAAAGAAATTTCTTTTTTCTCAAGAAACCAAGATTTCACTTTTTTTTATAGAACAAAAGAAAATTCTTTTGACGTATTTTAATAAAATTTTTAAAAGAAATTACATTTTTTAAAGGAATTTGATTAAAATTGTATTGTAAATAATGAAATTATTGCGAAGAAATTTAAAAAAAATTTGTAAATACTTAAATTTCTGTGAAATTCTTATTGGTTCATGAAAATAATTAAATGTTTGCGTAGAATATTTTTTTTTTAAATTTTATTAAAATAGTATAGATATGGAAAATTATTGAATTGAGGAAAATTTTTAAAAGTAATTGAAATTTTGCCAAGAATTTTAATAAAATTTTCGAAAATAATTGAATTTTGGGATAAGAATTTCATTATTTATAAAGATAATTGAAACTTTGAGGTGAGAATTTAAAAAAAATTTTATAATAAAAAAGTAAAATTCTTCATTAAATAATTTAATTTTTTCCAGTACTTTTAATAAATATCCCTGACTTTTTTCTGATTTCCCTGACTTTTACCTGAATTCCATGACTTTCCTGATCTGTTATTTCATTTATACTTTTATTTTCACGGAAATTGGCAAAAATCTATCAAAGTAAAAATGAGAAACTAAAAGTAAAACTGAAAGTGAAGATGGAAGTAAAAATTGAAATAAAATCAGATAATCGACCTCTTGATAGAAAAAAAGTCTCTGCCAGCACGAAGTTTAAAACAATAAATCAATATTTAAAAAATATCTAAATAAAAAAAAATTGAAACTAAAATTGAAAATTAGTATAGGAATCTCAAAAATAATTAATAAGCAAAATTAATTAGTAGGAGAAATTAATTAATATGCAAATATTAATTAGAGGGCGAAATTGATTAATACCCAAACATTAGTCATTAGTAAGCGAAATTAATTAAGATGCAAACATTAATTACTAAGCAAAAATAACGAAATAAAATAATAAAAAGTAAAATCCGCTTCTATGATTTTTTTAATGAAAGGTTGAAACTGAACAATTCTCTTCGTACAAAGAGAAATTGTAAAATAATGAAAAACAGAATAAAATACAATATCGATGGGAATATAATGGAAATTTTAATTGTACGAAGATTTTCTCATTTACACTTCATTCGGAGAAGGATATGTGGAAGCAATTGAACAATCTCAACTCAAGCTCAGTAGTTTCTGGTTTGCTCTTCCAGCATCTGCGGGATGTGTACGTGTGTACCAAACACAAATAACTGGCTATATATCTGGCAAGGGTGGGACAGTACTTCTCAATTATCCGGAAAATTAATTCTACTAGGCGTAGTACTATATCAAGCTTAGCGGAAAGCAAATATCGTTTGAATTTGTCTCAGCATACTATGTGAAATTTAAGTTGACATTTGGACACGATTAAATAGAGAGAGACAGAGAGAGAGAGATAGAGAGTGAAACTCACCATTTTGTTATTGATCTCATGGAAGTGAATCTCGCACACTTTGTCGACAACGTCTTCGCATTGAAACGTAACGAAGCCGAAGCCTGAAACAGAAAAACAATTGCAAAATTTAATTGAGAAAATCGAAAATTTCATTTTGAAAATATTTTCTTAGTTGTATTTTAGAATAAAGTTTAAAAACTTTTGTTTTATTTATAATAGTTAACTAGTTATCAGTTAATAATTATTCTGTTTAATTTTGACGTAATTTGTTTAATTGTCTGACTAAAACATGCCTTTACTACTTGACCAGGCTGTATAGATCGCACTTTTACTACTAACACTTAAATTCTATGAACTTAACCTCTTGTCTGACTGTAAATTCCTTTACTACTAATTTAATGATTTTTAAAACACTTTTTTACAATTGATTCTTAAAAGGACAAAATTTCCATTATTTGAACTTTTTTAATTTTTTATTAATATTTATAATACTGTGCTTGTCTGATGAAAACTTTTTTTACTAGTTAAAATTTGCAATTTTCGAAAATTAAGCAAATTTGTCTTATTCGAATAAAATTGATCTTTACTAATTAGACAAATTTAAAAATATTTTCCAATTAAAATTAATATGTCTGACTAAAATTGACGTTTACTACTTAAATTATCAAAATTTTAATGTCGTCTGTCTAAAAATTGTCTTTACTACAATTAAATTGACAATATTTTAAAAAAATTTTGTCAAGTGGAATTCATCTGCCTGACGAAAAGCAAAATTTACTACTTAAATTAACAAACATTGCCTCTACTACTGCTTCTTAATTTTGAATTTATTATTTATTTTGACGTTTACTATTTAACATCAACACATTTTCAAATGTCTGCCTAAAAATTACTTTTACTACTGAAAATTGACAAAACTTAAAATATTTCCGCAAATAAAATTGACCTGTCTGACTAAAACCGATGTTTACTACTTAATAGAACAAAATTTTGAACTATATCCCTGACATCTGTCTTTACTACTTAAATGGAAAAAATTTTTATACCTTGTCCATGGAAAATGACAAGTCTGACCAAAAACGACGATTACTACTAAAGTAAACATAATTTAAAAAAAGAAAAAAATTTTTTACTACTGATTTTATTTAATGAATTCATGGTTTATTTTGTCACACTTAATTAATAAATTTGAAGTGTTTGTCTGCCTAAAATTGTTCTTTACTACTTACAATTAAGCAATTTCAACATTTTTTCTCAAAATTGTGTTCTGTCCAAATAAAATCGATCTCTACTACTATTGAATTCGTCAAATTTACAAAATATCATCCAATTGAAAATTTGTCATCTGATTAAAATTGTTGTTTTTTACGCTGACTAACAAAAGACGAGAAAGAGATAAAAAATTACAAAAAAGGAAAATAAATAATTTAAAATTGAATATTTCTTTAAATTAAACAAATAAACGTTGTTTTTGGTTAGACAACAAGTTTACTTTGCCAGTAAATGAAAATTGGTTAATTTAAGTAGTAAAGGTAACTTTTAGCCAGACAACATGTGAACATTGTATTAATTTAAGTAGTAAACCCAGATTTTGGCCAGACATAACAATTTTACTTGAAAAATGCTTAAAAATTGGTTTATTTAAGTAGTAAAGTCAATTTTTAGTCAGACATTAAAAATTTTAGCTACATTTAGTAGTAAACGTTGTTTTTGGTCAGACGACAATTTTACTTTGTAATTTTTTTTAAAAATAGTAAATTTTAAATTAAGTTCAATTCAATTTTGAAATATCTTTTATGCAAAACATAATTTTTTCATTGGCTACATATTTTTGATTAAAAAAATAAAATTCACTGTGTATAATATAGAATAAATTCTTTCAAGTGGATAATTTTGTCTTTTTTCTTTATTAAAATGAGAGCACATATGTCGACTGCTCTATCGTTTTTATGCGGTACTGAAGGGTTCGTAAGAAAGCTGATCTTTGCAGTTTTTACTTCCCTTCGGTTTTAGTGAACTTTTGCTCACCATCGCCTATCAATTGGACTTGGTGTGTGAAAATAGCATTCTTATTCGATTCATCGAGCATTGAGGGTAATTTTTTTTTCTCTTCTTCTTCGTCTTTTTCATTTTTTTTTTTTTTTGGTGTGACGAGGAAGAATAAATTCTCTTATGAAAATTCGTAATGTGCTCCTCGCCCCTTGTGAAATTTATTAAGTTTCTTTGAAAACCGCTGACCGCTCACTTTTCAAACGAACCACTCTACTATCTTGAGAAACTTCTTTTTCCCTGTGATGAAATAAGTTTTTATGAATATAAGAACTTGGTGCTTCGTTATTTGTTTTACCTGATATACGCGCAGTTTACTTAACAGACGTATATTAAAAAATTTGAAACTTTGCTATTTTTTTAGAAACCTATTTTTTTAATAAGAGGAGATTATTAATCCATTAACTCGAGAGTGCTTTCTTTGATAATTATAATTGTTATTATTTTATTTTAAAGAGTTAATTTTTATTAACTTTTATGTTTAATTTTTTTGTTTAATGTTTTATGTGTTATAATTTAAGTTTATCTCACAGATATTTATTTATTCTTTTTTTTTATTGAAATCTGCATTAAATAATTATATTTTTTTCTAAGACTGCTTACTGTATGTAAATTAAATAGTAAAATCAGTAGTAAGGCCAAATTTTAGTCAGACGGAAATTTGCTTTATATTTTTATAGCCAAGTTAGTGAAGAAGGCAATTTTCAGTCAGACAAAATTGAAAATCGTTAATTTAAGTAGTAAGTGCGTACTTTAGTCAGACAAATAAAGAATTTGTTTACCGAAGAGTGAAAAATGGTAAATTTTTTTCCCCTAATTTATTTATATTCACTAAATGCTGAAGCAAAAATACGGTCCAAATTTTAAAATTAGATATTTTTTGTACTAATTCAGATTTTAAAAAGTTTAGTATAAACATTTATTATATATTGCACAATGGGAATAAAAATCGATTTTGAGTAATATTCTACTGTCATTTTGAGCATAACAATATAATCTAATTCAAAGGACTTGGAGGGAATCGAAATATAATTTGTGTCGAGACCAGATGTAATTTGTATTGTCGACTGGTCGCATTAATTTTGGCGGATGTAGTTCTGTATATGCGCACGTGTGCTGTTTACCGTAACATTAGTTATAGGGAGGTTTTTGCCAAAACATTCTATTCTAATGATCGTTGAATGTCAACCATAATGATCGTTAATATAGCAAATGATACCTGAAAAAGCTAATTGTCATTCAAGAAATGAAGCACACTAATTTCCTAACTATTTCTAATGGAAAACATTCTATTTTACTTTTTTAGTAAAATTAGATTAACAAATTATAAAGATTTTTATATTTATTTTTTTAATAATATTTCTTTCAAAATTGGTTTAATTAAGTGATGACTGACAATCATTAGGGAGAGATTTAAAATTTTGTTGAATTGAGTGTTAAATATCGTTTTTGATCAGACAACGATTTTACTTGAAAAATATATAAAAATTAGTTTGTTTGAGTAGAATAGCCAATTTTTAGTCAGACATCATTTGAACAGTTTGGTAAAGTTAGTAGTGAATGTCGTTTTTGGTCAGACAACAATTTTACTTGAGAAATACATAAAAATTTGTTATTTAAGTAGAAAAGTCAGTTTATAGTCAGACATAATTTGAACATATTGATAAATTTAGTAGTGAATGTCGTTTTTAGTCAGACACTAATGTTACAAGAGAAATATATAAAAATTAGTTTATTTAAGTAGAATAGATAATTTTTAGGCAGACAACATTTGTCAATTTTCCCACATTTAGTAGTAAACGTTGTTTTTGGTCAGACAACAAGTTTCCTTTCTTAAAAATTAAAATTGGTTAATTAAAGTAATAAAGATACATTTAGGTAGACAAAATTATAGAATATTTGATTAATTTAAGTAGTAAAAGTCGATTTTGGTCATACAGAAAAATTTGAATAGACAAGTGTTTAAAAATTGGTTTATATAAGTAGTAAAACCATTTTTGAGTCAGACCTAATTTAAATAGTAAATAAAATTTCTAGACAGAGAATATTACAACATTTTGTTAAATTAAGTAGTAAACGTCGTTTCCAGTAAGCCAACAATTTCACTTTGTAAATATTTTTAAATCGGTTAATTTAAGTAGAAAAGATAACTTTTATACAAATAATAATTAAAAATTTAGTAGTAAAGTAAATTTTTAGTCAGACAACTTTTAAATTTTCTGCTACATTATAAGTAGTAAACTTTGTTTTTGGTCAGACGACAATTTTGCTTTGTAAATTATTTTAAAAATTTGCAATTTAAGTTGTAAAAAAATATAGTCAGTCATAAAGCAATGTAATTTTTAGAATTTTTTAAAATTTACATTTTTAAAATTGAGAAAAATGTTTTTATGTTTAAAAACAATTTTCTTTTTATTTTAACACTGAAAGACTTGGACGACGACTCTAATCTCACAGTTCTCGATTATGAGCTTCTCTCGGGCCCGTAATTCAGATTCACATTTATCCAGTGGCACGGGAGTTATGTATCCAAGAGAAGAGATGTCGTTTTAGATAACCGGGAGTTAGTATTTCCGTTTTTGAAGCGACTTGAATTTGCCTTGCGTAGAATATTGAAATTAAAACTCGCCTTTTATTTTCAAAAGAGAAAAGATTATAAATTCTAAGATTAAACTAAAAAATTTAATTAAAAATAGAAATTTATTCGAAATGGAAAAATTGTTTAGAAGAAAAATCATATTTTAATAAAAATAAAAATAATAGTAATAATAATAGTAATAATAATAATAATAATAATAATAATAATAATAATAATAATAAATGTTATTATTAATTATTATTAATAGTAATTATTATTATCATGCTTCCCGCATATAGAATAAATAAATAAATAATTTTTTCAATTTTATATTGAAGAGAAATAATTTAGGGGAAAAAAATGAAATGATTTATAAAATATGAAAATAAATCTAGAACGAAATTTTGAGGGGTTAGATATATATTAAGTTATTAGGGAATACCAAGTTAATGGTACAAAGTTTGGAACAACTTT